GGACATGGACAGCTTTAGGGGACCATTATTCTGCCTACCTCACTCAAAGATGTAAAATGCCACGTACATCATGTATCATTTTGACATACATACGAGTCTGTTTTTGGATTCTGGATTACATTGCTCTGTTTGTGTCCGAAGGCTGCATGCATCTCACTATTATAATTAATACAGCATCATAATTGATCTTGGTATTCCATAAGAATAACCCTCAGCTTACATTTTTGCTTCTGAATATTTTTACTGTTCTTGGGCTTTTACTTTTTCAAATGAATTTTAGAACCAATTCATAAGTTGATCAAAAGTGATTGTTATTGTAATTAGAATTGCATTGAATCTATAGATGAAATTGAGACTAGAAAACTATTTGGCATTACAACTCCCTATTTACAAACATAATATGTCTCTTGATTTATTTATATCTATGTATTGGCTTTAGTAATGTATTTTATATATTTTGAACGTCCATAGCTAAATTTATTCCTGGGAAATCTATTTTAACTGCTGTTATAATTGGTATCGCTTTTTAAAAAAAATAGTTTCTAATTATATGCTGCTGGTATACTAAAATATAATTGATTTTTATATTGATTTTATATAAAGCACCTTGATAAGCTCACTTACTAATTCTAATAATTTTTATGAAAATACGTTAAGCTTTTTATGTATCCGATTGTATAAATGGAAAATATTTTTCTCTTACATTCTCATGTTTCTAACATTTATCTTATTTAATGGTTTGAATCTTTCGTGCTAAATGAAGCGTCAAGAATGTGTATCTTTACCATTTCTGATATTGCTTTATCATTAAATCTATTCTTATGGGTTTTGAGTAGAAGCCTTCTATTGATTAAGTATGTTTCCTTATTTCTCAGATGATATGATTTTTTATAGTGCTTATATTAAATTTTATCAAATCATTTTTCTGTTCAAATAAAAAGTAGCCATTTTTAATTAGTGTGTTTGTTAATGGCCAAATTACAATTAAGAGTAATAAATTTCAAAGTACCTTGAATAACACATCTCAGTCATGATGCATTTTTTTTTTGTATATATACTACAGGACTTGGATATGCTACTATTTTGTTGAATTTTTTTTCATGTTTATTTTCCACAAATGGCTTATTCTATAAATTTCATTTTCTGATTTGGTTTTGGTATTTCATAATAGCCTGCTAAAATTAGTTGGGGGATTTTGCTCCATTTCTTTCTCTGGAATAATCTGCATAGATTGAAATGATATGTTTACTGAAAGTCTAGTGAGATTCTTTTGTGCAACTCCTGGGACTGGTATTTCTTTTTAGTACCTTTTATTATGATAATTTTTTCTGTTGATTTACTTTTATTTTTTAACAAATCCTATTTTGTTTATTTAGGTATATGATATGAAGTGTGGGATACATATAGATAGTAAAATGTTTATGATAGTGAACATATCCATCATCTCACATATTTACCCTTTATGAAAATTTTTGTGGAAAAAAGCAGCTAAAATCTATACATTCAACATCAATCTCAAATACAGAACAATTTTATTAAATATTACTTATGGTCCCCAATTTTTACACTACATCTCTAGACTTATTCATCCTACATATCTGGCACTTTGTATCCTCTGACCTCCATTTCCTCATTTGCACCTCGCCCCCACCCCCACCCCTGGTAACTGCTGTTTCATTCTCTATCTCTGTATATCTGTTCTTTTTTTTTGTAGATTCCACAGGTAATTGAGATCATACAATAATTTTATTTCTGTGTCTGGCTTACTTCGCTTAACATAATATCCCCTGGACTCTGTTAGTGGACACTTAGGTTGTTTCTATATCTTGGGTATCGTAAATAATGCTGCAATAAAAATGAAAGTGCAAGTGTGTTTACAAGGTGATTTTATTTCCTTTAAGCATATGCTCAGAAGAGGGATTGTTGGGTCATATGATAGTTCTATCTTTAATTTATTTAGAAACCTCTATGCTGTTTTCCACAATGGCTGTACCAATTTACATTCCCATGAACAGTATGCAGAAATTCTCTTTTCTGCACACCCTTGCTAACATTTGTTATCTTTTGACTTTTTGATGATAACTATCCTAACAGATGTGGTGTGGTATCTCATAGTGGTTTTGATTTGAGTTTCACTGATGGTTAATGGTACTGAGTACCTATTCACATACCTGTTGGCAATTTTTATGTCTTCTTATGAGAAATGTCTGTTCAGATCTTTTGCCCAGTTTTAAATTGGGTTATTTGTTTTTCTGCTATTGAGTTGTATTAGTTCTTTATGAATTTTGAATATTAACCCTTTATTTATATGCCTTGCAAATATTTTTTCCCAGTCTGTAAGCTGTTGTTTCAGTTGATTGTTTCCTTTGCTGTGCAGAAGCTTTTTAATTTGATGTAGTCCCATTTATTTGCTTTTGCCTTTGTGGTCTGAAGTGTTGGTATGCTATCCCCAAAATTTATTACCAAGGCCAATATCCAGGGGATTTCACCTATGTTCTCTCAGAATTTAATCAAGCATACACAGTCAACTGATTTTTGACAAAGGCATCAATATAACACAATGGGGAAAGGATAATCTTTTCAATAAATGGTACTGGGAAAACTGGAGTTCCAATGTAAGGGGATGAAATTGGACTCGTATATCATGCACAAAAATCAACTCAAAATGGATAAAATACTTAAATATAAGACCAGAAACTATGTTATTTTTTATATGAGTTTTCAGCCTTCTAATTTGTTTTTTTCTCAATTCTTAATTGAAATATTATATACATACAAGAAAATGCACAGTTTTTAAGAGTATGGCTTGATGAGTTTTGATAGAATTATGCCTATACCTCCAACAAATATAGAACAATTTTGTCACCCTAGATGTTTCCTTTGTGACACTTTCCAGCCAGTCCAACTCCAGGCTTCTATTCTCAACAGGCAACCACTCTTAACAATTATAACACCACATATTATTTTTGCCACTAGAATTTTGTGATAATGGATTCTAACGATGTACTTTTTTTATCTGGCTACTTTCACTCAAATGTTTGTGAGATACACTAATGTTTCGTGTCAATCAGTGACTAATTCTTTTCTATTTATGTATAAACTTATTTATCCATTGTCTTAGGATGGGCACTGGTTTATTTCTAGTTTAACGGTGATTCTGAATAAAATGTCATGAGCGTTCTTGTGCAAGTTGTTTTGTGAACATATGTTTTTACTTCTCTTGGAAAAATATTTAGCAGTAATATTGCTAAATCATAGTGGAGCTCTATGTTTAACTTTATAAATAACTGCTCATGGTCTTTCCAAAGTAGCTGTCAGCAGTGATTGCTCCAATAATTTCACATCTTCATCAACATTTGTCATTAGTCTTCTTTTAGTTTTAGCCATTTTGGGGCATGTACATGTGTGTGGGTGTATATGTTACTATTGATGTGAAGGAGTTCTTTATAGATTTTAGATACTAGTTATTTTTCAGATATATAATATATATGTGTATACATATATATGTATGTATAGATATAGGGAGAGAGAGAGAAAGAGAGAGCATTTTCTCTCAGTCTGTGGCTTAGCTATTCAATTTTTTGATGGGTTTGGGGATCAGCAGGGTGTTTTTGTGAGTGGTCTTTGCTTCCTAATTAAGTAATCTTTTCCGAGCCTAAGTTTACAAAAAAAAATTTTTTCCTAGAATCTTTATCATTTAAGCTTTTAAATTTTGATCTACGATCAGTCTCAAAATAAGGTTTGCCTGTGAGATAGGGCATAAAAGGTTTTATTATGTTTGCTTTCTTCGTTTTTGTTTTTCTTTTTTTGGTAATTCGTATCCAGTTTTTTCAGCACCATTTGTTGAAAAGACTACTTTTTAATTTTTTTTGCTTTGGCACTTTTGTCAAAAATAAATTGACCATATCTGTGTAGTTCCCTTGGATATTATACTGTTCCATTTGTCTATTTACCTATATGTACAACAATCCATACTGCAGTACAATATTGAATAAATGTGGTGAGATCAGACATCTCTGTTTTTATCTTTGACTTAGGGGAAAAACATTTTGTTTTTTTTACCATTATATATGGTGCATATTTTTTAAGAAAAATAGGAAAACTCTGATATGGAAAGCCATTACTTAAGCTTATTTATCTTTGTCCTTCATGCTCCCAATATATTTTTAGGGGTCTTACAAAGTCTTTGTACTTTTGAAATTATACTAATTGATGAATTGTGGCACAAATGATTATCTTGGTCATTCGGTTTGATAATATTCCTTTTACTTATTGACACACATGTTCTGATAATGATTCTTATTTTGCCAGTTTTTATTCATGTTTCAGGATGAATAAACAAATATATGGACCCTCAGAATTTTCCATTTAGACAAACTGTTTTATAAATGTTCTATCTATACTGTTTTTAAACTTGTCTTGCTATGTTCACATCTTTTATTTCCTAATCCTAAAACAACTCTTTAATATAGAGAGATTTAAGAATAATTGAGTCCCTTAATTGCCAATCATGAAATTTGTAATAGAATGTTACAGGCACAGGCAATTTTTAACAAACATGAATATTAAATTTTCTTTTAGGAATCAATTTAAAATAATAACTTTTGTAATTTTGAAAGTCTATAGACTTATGTTAAAATTGTTTCTTATTCCACTAATTTAGTTAGAGAGAAAAAAACATTTAGAAATTGTGTAAAGCAGTGTGATTCGCCCTAATTTCTTTCCTTAGTAAGTGATTTATTTGATTATATAAGTAAATAATAAATCAACATAGTATTGACTTTTGCATTTCTTTAGAAAGAAGTACCCCTTTTAAAAATGGGTCATAGATTGGAGGTCTGCAATAGCTTTGTGTGTATAGGTGTGTATCTATGAATATATGGCATAACTCTCTTCTCAATGGTTAAGTTTGAAAAATCCATAACTTCTCAATTATTCTTGGTGCAAATCATCCCTTTACTTGACCTTAAAACAGACATTCTATTGATTTTGTTTCCTAGTTCAATTTTGTGGGGAAATTGCTTGGACCAAGAGGAAACTCCTTGAAGAGGCTACAGGAAGAAACAGGTGCTAAAATGTCTATCCTGGGAAAAGGATCAATGAGAGATAAAGCAAAGGTACTGAACTTTGAATTTGATATTTAACACATACAGGGGGTTACCTGTTACACTGATGATCAAATTTACAAGCACACATGACCTGCTCTTTCATAATTGCCTATGATTGTCACCTGCTGAGATTAACCTGTGGCACTTTCTGATGTCTCCCTTGTCTACCTAAAAACCAATTATTGGCCCCTTTCCTTTTTATCAGAACATATATTCTGTATTTTCATTTGCTATAGTACTTTGTGTAACTTGCTATCAAATCTTTTCACTTTTTCTGCATCTTCTGTAGGATGTTTCTATACATCTGTGTTCATTTTCTTTAATTCCCTGGCTGGTTTCTTTTTCTTTCTTCAATCATATCACCTAATCACATCTATTGTATCATTATCTCTCTGCTCTATTTCACTTTGATCCTCTTACCTGAAGCAATTTCAGATGCTTATCTGCAAATCTAAAAGAATACTGCCTATTCCCTGAAATGTTTCAATGATATTAAACAACTCACCTGACCCTCAAAAGAACAATAAGCTAAGAAATATATCAAGTTTGATGTTGGAAATGATTTATTTCACATCTGAACTGCATCATTTCCCATTTTATAAAATGATAGCAATTTTCTATGTGTTAGAATTCAATGTTTGGGAGAAATAACTATTTGTAGAGATTTACTGGTAAAGGATCTTTGAAAATTCACAGTGCAAATGTAGATGTGTATGGTAGTATCATTTAACCAGCCCATACCTTTATGATTTGATAATGTTGTTATGGAAAATGAAATGTTCAAACATTTATTTCTGACTATGGGAATACTTAAAAAATTGTGCAGAAGTTCTGTGTTTAAACTATTAAGACATCTTAAAGGTATTTATAGTGATAAATGTCACTGAACTGTTGAATATATTTTGCAGAAATTATTTTATCTTTATTGTAATAAGTCTTTATTTGGAGTTTGAGCAAGACATGCTATTTGGGTGCTTTTTTAGAATGTCTCAATAGTCAAGTCTAGAAAATTACAAAATGTATAATTTTTCTAGCCTTTTCTTCAGGGTAAGTACTGTATATAATTTCAAAAATGACTACATTGTTTTGAATCCTCCTGCCTCTAATTTCTCTGACTACATTCAAAATAAATATTACAACTATTTAAGAGATGATAGCACCTGCATCTAGTTGTGAGAAAAACTTTTGCTTCCTGCTACAAACCTGTTTTATATAAGAGGAGAAATTGACACATAATAATTTATGTCTGTACTTTCATATATACTTTAATATTGTTTTTGTTATATATTCTACAAATACCTCATACACTTACAATGTGAACTTCAGACTGTGTGCTTTTCTACTCTTACATGTTCTTTAAGATTCAGGTCAGGCATTGTCTCCCTGGCAGGGCTTCCCTGAACTCCTATACTTGGGTAAACTCTCTTTTTTCAATGATATTTTACTGAAGTATCTGTTTATCTCCAGGCTGGAGAATTATCCTAGTTAGCTTTATACATGTGGAATCTCCATAGTCTCTCCACATCTTTTAAAACAGATGGGTGTATATTTTTCATTCCCATACATTTGGATATATTTTTCTGTTCATAAAGTTTTAAATTAGATTCCCTTTTCCCTGTGAGCATGTTCGATACCAGCAAAAGTATTTGAAAATCCAATAGGAAACAAATTTGCTTCTATTATGTTTCCATTAGGTTTAATTTACTGATATTACCTGTTACTTAAAATCCAGCTTCTTATTACTTTTTGGGTGATCCATCATGTTTATCTATGCTTTGAGTGTTTTCATTGTTCTTTACAAAATAAAATAAAATAAAATATTTAATAATGATAATAATTATAATTTATTGTACTGTAAAATATGTTTTCTTAGAATCCATATAAGGCCTTAACTGTCAAGATGGTGGAACACACACAGATGAAATAAAACCACAGGCAGAGATATGAAAAATCTACCTTAGTAAACACCTGATTAAAATAAAAATAAATCCTTGGTAAATTATTGATTACTGTACTGCTATTTTGCCTTTCTGCAGCATAACCTAAACAGGAAGGAAGATTTAACATTATTTTATTTTTTAATCATTAAATAAAACTCATCCAATTCTGCATTGAAGTGTGTGTGTGTGTGTGTGTGTGTGTAGTCACACAAACAGGCATATATTCATGTGTTAAAGAAATATTTCTTGACCATACTATGTGTCATTCACACTTCCAGTTTACACTAATGAATATAACAAGGCTGTTCCTCTCTTGGAGTTTACATTCTAATGGGAGAAGCAGACAATAAGTGAATAAATTTTATACTTTCAAGCATTGATAACTGTCATAAATTAAAATAAAACAGGAGAAGGGAAGAGGTTCATAGTGGTGGGAGCAAATTTTGATACAGTGATCAGGTAGAAAAATGGATAAGGGGAAGGAAGCAGCAGAGACTGATCAGAAAGAAGAGAGAGAAGGCCAAATGTGAGGGCTCTGTGGGAGAATCTGTACCTTTAACTATCACCATATCTATATCTGTAACTATTCAATATTATGACAACTTGAGCCATATCTTTATTTAATAACCATATATATTCCCCTTTGGGTACTGTACACCTGATTTCCTAGCTCATCTTTATAGTAAAACTCACTGAAACGTCATTTGCAATCAACGGCTCTCCTCCATTCTTTATTGTTTTCCTCCTTAGTCTCTGTAACTGAGTCTTCTTCCTTTTCCAGACCTCCAAGCCCACGCTTAGCCTATAGACTTCTTTTTTCCCTTCATGAACTCATACCACCTGTTTGCTAGAATCCTAAAATTTATGTCCAGGCCCAAGTCTCTCCTTTAAGTTCTAGATTCTAAATTTATATATTTATCTACTCAACATGTCAAAGTGGATGTCTAACAGGCATTGAAACATAATGGCCAAACACATACACACACATACACATACTTACACATACACAAATACATGTATGTATGCATGTATGTAGACAAAGACTCTCTCTCCCTGATCAAACTTTAGTCAGGCTCTTCTTCTAAGCACTCTTCTCAGCTAGACCTGACTGTCCAAAAATTGGATATATTTATTTAAAGTTTATATCAGCAAGCATTAAGGAGTTTGTTTTTCACATTTTATTCAATAGAAAAAATAAATGACTGAAGCATTATGAGGCACTCCTTGTTCATTAATGAAGCCTGGGTCAGTGGTCTCTTCTGTGGTCCCGTAGTCAGATGACTTTGCAGAAAATATTGTTCAATAAATTTGTTTGCTTTACCTTTTAGAGCATGATAATACACATTGCTTTACCAAGTTGGGCATGCTATTCAGATGCTATACAATGTATGCCTTAAACTTGATCTTTACCTCATGATAAAAGAAGACTTTTTTTTTTTTTTTGAGATGAAATCTCACTCTGTCACCCTGGCAAGAGTGCAGTTGTGACATCATACCTCATTGCAATCTCCAACTCCTGGGCTCAAGCGATCTTCCTGCCTCAGCCCTCCCAGGAGCTGGTACTACTGGTGCGTGCCACCACGCCCAGCTAATTTTTTCTGTTTTTAGTAGAGACAGGGTTTCGCTCTTGCTCTGGCTGGTCTCAAACTCCTGAGCCCAAGCCATCCTCCGACATCGGCCTCCCAGAATGCTAGGATTACAGGCATGAGCCACCACACCCAGCCTAAAAGGAAATAGTTGTCTAAGTCAGGAAAAAATAACTAATCAAAAATATTTATTTCATATCTGGTATGTACTCAAGAGTAGTTTCTATATTATGCTCCATGGGAACTATTAGACACGACTCCAACCCTTACAAAGCTTGTAATTTAATTAAACATCCCAGCCTGCGTAACATTGTTTTTTAAGTTAAGAAAATATCAATCATTTGGATTAGTAGGTAGACAGAATGACAAGCTCATTTAGTTTTGTTTTTGTAGACCTATTAAAACTTCTTAATCCTTAAAGAGGAAAATGTGAAGTTTTAAGATTTGTTCCCAGATTATTATAAAATTAATTGCATAATAGTTTTAATAGTGTCTAAGATGTTCTATGGGATGTAAGAAGATTCAATAAGTTTAAAGTTTTCATTTTGTTTTTTGTTTTGGGCGAAACATTCCTCTTTAATTACAGCTAGCCAACAACTCTGTAAAGCAAAAAAGAAAACACAAGTGAAACTAAAATAAAATGTAATAATATCCAAGCTAACACCTGAAGCAAAATCCTCCTGTATAATCATGATTTCTTCCTGTTTTGATCAGATCCCAGAAAATAAGAACTCACATTTTACCTAAGACCATGTAGGAATGCTTGAACAGAAGCTGAATTTTAAATTGTGCAGATAAAATGTGGTCTTAAATAAATCTAGAAAATAAAATATACAGTATCTTATATAATATTTCAAAATACCTCAAGAAATTAACTGACAGTTCAGAAATTTCTTAAAAATCTAAGTCCTTCATGTACCATATGGCCAGCTGGTTCTAAATAACCACCAGCTGCTGGCTTCACTGGCCATGGCTTCTGAGCAATCTTCAGGGTAACTTAGTGTAGCTTGAGAGGGAGTGTTGCTATTTTTAGTGGTGCTGATGGCAAAGATTGGTGAGGGAAAAAACCGAGGAAGCAATGGCTCTACAGGCTTATCTTTGAAAAAGGTGAGAAACAAACATATTATCATCCAGAAAAAAAGGTTAGAAAGGTTAGAGAAAATCAGACAACAGCTGAGCATACCCAGACAAGAATGAGGAAGTAGGAAAGCATGAAAACAAAATTTCTTTCAGACTCACCTATCGTCCTTAAATGTAAATTCCACATGGCCGTGTTGCAAATAAATTAAGTTGTAATGCAAGATATTTTGGCATTTCTGTTAATAAGCTTGGTTGAAATTATGCAATATGGTCTTAAAGCATGCTAATGATTATATGTTAAACGTAAGTGTTGTTTGGTGGATTTTTATTTGAAAATGTGTGATAGTTGCCAAGGCAAGTTTTTCTGTCTTTGATGTGCTGCTAACATGTGCAGTTTATATTT